CACACGGCCCTCAATAAACATCTCCGTCTCGCACGGGTAGATGACGACTGTCGCCAGGTACTCACCTGAATCCAACTTCTCCAGATGCGTCTTGCCAAGAGCCCTGATGTCGCAGTCCTCGCCAAAATTCACCTTCACGTGCATCTCGTACTCGGTGGTGTCGTTGTAGTAAGCCCACTGCCTCTTTTTGTTATTCACGATGCGGAAGAGGAGGCCATTGCCCTCGTCAAACCCCTTCACCACCTCGTCACCCTCGAACGTTGGCCTGCCGTTCACGTACACGACGGAGGGAGACTTCGATGCGCCGCAGCCCATGGCTGGCCAAAATTTACGAAACGGTTGCGAAGGGGACTTAGATTCTTCTTGTTGGTTGCTGTGCGCCGGAGTGTTCGTGCATGCGTGTAAGTTAGGGGCAGAGGAAAAGACAAAAAGAAGAAAGGGCACACATGTATCCATGTGCGTGGCCCAAACAAACGCGGTGAGAGACGACACCCGCACGCACCGTGCACGTATACGCATGTGTGGAGGTGCGTGCGCCGCGGGTCGTCATCCCACTACTGGGAAAATAAGACAAAAAAAATGAGTCTTCTCTTCTCCCTCTGCATCCAGCAAAAGAGAAAAATACATCCTGGGGCCATGTTGTGCCTGTAGCTATACGACCAGGTGCATAGACACGACCTTGTTGTTGCTAGCAGGAGGGAAAGAAGGCGAGGAGAGTAGGGTCCTCGTCTTTTTCTTACATTTTCCCCGTGGTCTTCTCTCACAAGGCGGGAAAGAGAAAAAAAACAGTTCAGATGCACATACAATCATATACACACGCATGCCGGTTCTCAAATCATCCCTCGGTTTCTTCGCTGACATCTCCTCTTCCTCTGCCCAATTGCGCCGCCCTGCAGCTGCAGCTGCACCCCCACCCCTCCGTCTTTTACTTATTCCTCTCGACCACAGTCTAACGTCCGCCCTCCTCCCGTCGCTCTCCGCCTTCGTCAGCCTGCGGCGCCCCCTCCTCTTTGCTACCTTTGGTTGGTGCCCACCGCTCCTCCCTCGCGGCCCCGGCCAGTGAAGCTGCGCACCCCCTCCCCCTCTACCAGCCTGCTGCGGTCAGTGCACAGGGAGGACAAGGTGCGGCCCGACGTCCCCCTCACACTCCACTTGGAAAGCAAAGAGAAGGTGGGCAAACCGGTGCACCGGTGAGTCAATGGGAGCGAGACAGCATCCACGCACACGCGCAACCAAACACATAGGCACGTGCGTGCACGTGCATGTGTGCGCTGGGTTCTAAATGGCGGCGGTGGCAACAGTGGAAATGAGCTCAACTCTCATGCACTGCCCCCTGCTCACCCACCTGCCGCTCTACCGCGGGAGATGCATGTACGCACAACTACCGCAGTGCCCCCACCGCCACGCGGCGTACACAGCAAAAGAACACAGGCGGAGCGTAATGCCGCGGAAAGCAAAAACAGACAAGCAAAATGGCATAAAGAAGGTGCGGTGGCTGAGGTGTGTGTACGTGTGTGTGTGTGTGTGTGTGTGTGCCTAACACTACTTCCTACACGCCAAGCCCTCACGGCGCAAATACAGCGATGCGCATCACGTCATAGATATAAAGTACTCGTCATAAGAAACGCAAAGATGCACCGGTGCCGTTACCAATACGCACACATAAAGAAGATAAAGAATGAATAATAATAATAAAAAAAAAAAAACCTGCCAACTATCAAATAAAAAAGCAAAAAAACAAAAATAAACACGAGAAACATACTGTGCCGCAGGGTCACGGGAACAGCCATGTGCGGCAGCCAGTGGAGTAAAAATGAAAAAAGAAGGTAAATGAAGAACGTGGACAAAAATGCGACGGAGCAAAGAACATATATATATAAAACAAACATCACAAAAAAAAAAAAAAATGAAAAGGTAACAGAAACGCAGAATACGCCAGCACTTTTTTTTTTGTTTTTGTTTTTGTCCAAGACGACACGGGTGCAGCATACACTCCACCCTCCAAGGCCCCGGGCTCCCCCATTTCCTCCTCCCCACACAAACACGTTCTTCTGTTTGCCTTCCTTTTCTTGTTTGTTCCTCGCCGTTTTTGTCTATTCATGCGCCCCTAATCTTCATTCTCCTTCTGCGATCTCGAACGCACTCCCTATTTCTTATTTATTTCCCGCTGACCCCTTCTGACGCCTGTATTCCTCAGAAAGAGGAAGCGCGTCCATCTTCACCCTGAAGCCATTCACACGGCCCTCAATAAACATCTCCGTCTCGCACGGGTAGATGACGACTGTCGCCAGGTACTCACCTGAATCCAACTTCTCCAGATGCGTCTTGCCAAGAGCCCTGATGTCGCAGTCCTCGCCAAAATTCACCTTCACGTGCATCTCGTACTCGGTGGTGTCGTTGTAGTAAGCCCACTGCCTCTTTTTGTTATTCACGATGCGGAAGAGGAGGCCATTGCCCTCGTCAAACCCCTTCACCACCTCGTCACCCTCGAACGTTGGCCTGCCGTTCACGTACACGACGGAGGGAGACTTCGATGCGCCGCAGCCCATGGCTGGCCAAAATTTACGAAACGGTTGCGAAGGGGACTTAGATTCTTCTTGTTGGTTGCTGTGCGCCGGAGTGTTCGTGCATGCGTGTAAGTTAGGGGCAGAGGAAAAGACA